GCAAGAAAAATTGTACGCATATTTGATATGAAGTCACATATAAGCATAGGCCAAAAATTTTGATTCCTCATCAAATATTCATCAACATCAATATTTTTGGTTCATTGCTACGAAATATATGTATTTGCCCAGTAAACTTATTCATTCATGATATACATATTCACAGTAAATATATACTTACGGATGCAGAAGTATATTATCAAAAATATATAATCATATGATCAAGTTTTCATAAATTCAAAAATGCATAAAGCATAAACACATATAATTTTGAGGCATCCGGAAAATAATAAGGCATAAAAAACTCATAAAAGTTACCGTTCACCGGAATTGAGCGTGCTGATAACGTGTTGTATTGCAAGTTTGTTTGCAGGTCTTTAGCTCGTGAAGAACAGTAAGAACAAGAAGAAGAGTAGAGACAAAATAGAGGGTTTCTTATTCCTTTATATCACACCTATGATCATTACATTAGAATGACATATATATAATAACAAGTGTAACAGAATACAATAATGGAGACATAAAGGAAACCGTTACACAATAATGTCCACAATCATTACTATTTATAACAAAAAGCTTATTATTTTTTGTCAAAACTTGGAGGATTTATTTGACCATTTTTCTTTAATGATATAATTGTTCATTTAATATTTAAAAAAAAAAAAAAAAAACCGTAGAAGCTTTTTTAAAAGAAATAATTTCTCGAATTTATTGGGCCAAGTACCAAGGCAAATACTTGAATTATTGCTTCTTCTTTTTTTCTAATCCAAATCAACTAACCCCGATAATAGACAAGAACAAAGCAATATAAATATTGGAGAGTTTAGGACAAAGATTTGCTTCAAATTCCTTAGTTGTTTGTGTATTACTCCATACAAAGTTTGTAGTAAGTGAACAAGAAAATGTCTTAACCAAGGACAATGGTTAATAATATAAACTAATTCCCCTAATCAATTTCTTAAAAATTGGACGCCCTGTGAAACTATGTCTCTTTCTAATAAACCCTCGAGTCTGGAGGTCAACTCCGGAGGTTGGGCCTAAGATCAACTAGCTAACCACCACTTCCGAACCTTACTTTTGAGCATTGTCTACTTTGACCTTTCTTTTTTGGGTCGAACCCGATATATCCATTATTTTGAAAATTAATTTTGAAAAATAAAACTTAAATAAATAAATAGAAACCTAGTCCACAACAGAATATCTTACGCAAAAGTCAACTCGATGATGCGTATAGACGTTACAACATTACTCATCTAATCATTATGAATTAATCTTATTATTATATTTATATTTATATTTATATGTATAATATCCTTCCAACAAAAACTGCCACATTTATTATATGGATAATAAAGAATAAAATATATATATTTTTTTAATACTACTGACTCTATTAAAATATATTACTTAATCCGTCATAGAAGATGATATTTTCTAATTGAAAAAGAATAAATAAAATATATTACTTAATCCGTCATAGAAGATGATATTTTCTAATTGAAAAAGAATAAATAAATTGTCTTGATAATATACTTAGTGACGAAGTGTAGAACAAGAACAAGTATGTTGAATGAGTCACAACTCACAATAAGATATTTGATGAGTAAATAATACGGAGTACGTAATTTAAATATAATTATTACTTATATGAAAAGTAATAAAATAATGGTATAAATGGAAGAAATCAAATTTAAGTGCAATATTTTAATAACATAGCATACTTAATAAATTTGGACTTTGTTTCTCAAAAAAAAAAAAAAAAAAAAAAAAAAAGAAGTAATAATAATAATAAATTTGGACTTTTAAAATTAAATCGATGCTTGGGCTGTTCCACTGAATACCTAATCATTAACGTTTTTTTTTTTTGCCCAAAGGTATCTCTCCAGTCGATAGTCAGAGGACTAATCCTTCGTCTTTATTGTCAGCACACTAACAGCACGTTTGGTTCAAGCAATAAATTTTGAGGTAATAGGAATGCTATTTCATAAGGAATGGAATAGGTAAGGAATAGAATATGAATTGTATTCTATTGTTTGGTTCGCGGAAGGAATAGACTTTAGGAATTATATTACAGTGTTTGGTTGATTTAAGAAATAGAAATGAAATATGTTTTAAAAGACATAAATACCCTTATAAAAATATGTGGTGGTGGCGGTGATGGGGTGGTAGTAGTGGCAGTGGTGGGAGCGACGGTGGTGGTGGGGGTGGAGACAGTTGTGGCGGTGGTGGTGGTGGGGGTGGAGACGGTTGTGGCGATGATGGTGGTGGTGGCGGTAAAAAAGAAAATAGATTCTAAAATCTATTCATGAGCCAAATGATTTACTCCATTCACATGGGTAGGGATCGAACCCCCAACCTCATGCTTAAGGGACGAGGTGTTGAACCACCATGCCAACCATGTTGGTTAATCCAATCATTAACGTATTAATTAAACTTATGAATACCTATTGAAATGGGTTGCAATATACTAAAAAGGGTATAACGATTTATGGATACCTATTGAATTAGGTTGTAGACTTGTAGTACACTAAAAGGGGTATAACAATAACAATTGATTAATGCTCAAACAAAGCTTGGAATTCTAGATTGAGTCATTAAATGGAACATAGGAAACGTACTTGGTTGATTTATGTGAGGGGAAATGGGATTCTTCAACCCCGCCCATAAAAGAGACTGGAGATTTAAACTAAAATCCTAAACACGGCCAAAAGAGAGCTGTGGTTGAAATGATTTTTTGGATTTGTAACATGATAAAAGGTAAAGCAAAAAACTGAAAATGAAAATGGCCAATTTGAATTGAACCAGAATCTGATGTTTATTGTGCATTTTAAACAATGGACAAAGAAGTGTATGTATGTTCTTTGCAACTGAATCCAAAACAAGGGGGAGGGGGAGGGGGCTTTTTACCGCAGAGGCTGCTGGTTGTAGTGGTTCTTCTCCTTTTTCTTTGCAGCAGCTAACTTTGCACTCCTTGCAGCGGCCTCACTAGCGGCGGCTTTGGCGGCACCATCCATCTCTTTGCTCGACTTCTTTTTCTTCATGGATTGCGCTTTCTTAATCTTCTCCTTCATATCAGTATTACCAGCAGCTTCAGTCTCCGTGTCTTCATTACCCCTTCCAGGCTCAACACCGTTGTTGACCTGACCCTGTTGCTCTTTAGCTTCCTTCGATTTCTTTTTCTTCTTTTTTGCGTTTTTGCTCTCACCAGCACCTTCGTTTTCCTTCTTATCCATCTCTCCATTCACATTCTCTGCCTTCTTATCCCGCGTAACACCTGCAAACTCAACCAGTCACAAACATTCTCAGATAAGATATCGAAAGATAAGAATCTTCTAATTGGCCCAATCTAACGATCACATAGAAAGTGCCATCGAAGTGAGCAAACCGAGCCTCTCTATTATTACTGTATAATTATTATTATTAAGAGTAGAGAATTTAAATTACCTTGATCATCCTTTTTCTCAGGTTGGTTGCATCCGAATTCTGCAAGCATAGCTTCAAGTTCTTCAAGTTCCTTCTTCTTCAATTCTTTTTTTGACAGCTGTCTTTCTGATTCTTTGGGTGCCGCAACTTCAGCAGGTTTCTTAACAATAGGCTCCTTCTCTACTGGAAGTGCTTCACTCTCAGGCTCATGCTCCTGCTCTTGCTCAATATCCTCATCCACTTCATCGAGGCCTTCATCTTCTTCACTTTCACTCTCCTGATATCCAAAACTACTATATATAAATTATAATGATCCACACATACTGAAGCAATTGGTATGTAATACATCAAGGTATACAGAGCAAGCTATGCTCTTGCAGAACATGTTCATCATGATTAAACTCAATGTTCATTTCAATTGTATTTCATGTTTACAATATAATATAAATTGAAATGAAATCATATTATGTGGAGTACAATATTGATGAACATCTGTGGATGGGGTACCTTGCTCTGTGGGAGCAAAAAAGATTTTGAAACAATTGAAAGAGAGAAATAAATAAGGTAACCTAGGCAAATTCACCTATCTAAAGTCTAAACTGGTGCTCGGAATCAAGAAAATAAGAGTGGATGTGGACAAGGGTGATAATGTCATTCTTTACAGGTCATAAACATAACAAGCAAAATTTTTAAAAATATGTTTCCATAAGGACCTGATTGGCATCACCACAATGGGAAAAGTCAAAAAGTAGTGTACTAGAACATAAGTTTGATAGAAAAATAAAGGATGATTCTTTACATGCTTTCTAACATTGTTTTCCCAATTCCCATAATAAATTTCCTAACATTCTTTATAAGTTTTAGGAACATAATAAAGTGAGGCTGAAAATGAAGTATCGGTTTTTGTGCAACTATTTCTTTTCTGTATGGGGAAAAAAGTTCAAAATTCAGCATTCAGTACGTGAAGGAAAATCTTAACACCAATTTCAGATGCCATAAATGCATACAGTCATGCACCATGGCAACAAAGGATTGTTATCTTCAACAGGCCGTGAGATAAGATTCATAATCAATTCAGTTCAAGTCATGCTATTATTAGCCTAAAAATCACATAGAACCATTTTTTGTTCCATCAAATAACTGAAAATTATTGAGTGAAAATTTACTGACATCTTTAGCTAAAACAGCATAAATATACTTCAATTTCTAGATGTTTGGTGATGATTATGGATACCAAGACTTAATGTTCTAGACTCTAGAGGGAGATAGAAAAAAAAAGCAGATATTCTATATCAAGAGTTTCACTTTCACTGAGAGAGCTAAATACACAAGAATATATGATATAAGGAAAGATCAGTGACAATTTTATAAAGAATCATTTCCAACCAAGAAAACTTATATGAAAGTTTATCAAGAGATAAAGTTTATCTACTCAAATATATCAGAGAAGTTACAATGCCAATCACCACTTAAACTGTGTGCACAAAGCAGCAAAACACCAAAGATTCAAACATTTAAGCAAGGAAAATGAGTAACTCTCAAACCAAACATTCAGGCAAGAGTTGGAAAGTTCAAACCTCTATAACAGGTCCTTTGGATTGCTGCTCCTGAGCTGCAGCAGGACCCCAAGAAACCTGAGGCGGAGCCGTTAAAACATAGTAATCATCGTCATTTTCGTCCTCGATATCGGCCCAAGATTTCGTAGTGAGCGGCGCCGGAGCCCAGATAACCTGCGGCTGAGCCTCCTTGTTGGACGAACTGGAAGCGCTCTTACTCTTGGAATCCTTATCGGACTTCTTCTTCTTCCTCAGGGTTCCCAGCGCCGCGAAAACATTAGTGCTGTTAATCACCAACTGATCATCCTTCCTGTTTCCACCCCCCACCATTTTCCCCTGAATCTAAACGCCACCAACACAGCTCGCTCCAGAATACCTATATCTACACGATTCAAACGATATCCGAATGTGCACGTGAAACAATCCCAGATTTTATATGATCGGATAAAAACGAAAGATGATAACTTGACAGGGAAATTCCAGCGAGGGGGGAATTTCCTTCCTCCGGTAAAGCAAAGGCAAATGTGAATAGAGATTAGACGGCAAACAATTCGAATTGGGAAGAGGAGAATCTATGAAGCCGAAGGAGATAAAGGAATGAAGAGCAGAAGGTCGGTTACGGTAAAATTAGGGTTTGGATGAGAGATGAGGGTAGTAGCTAAAGACGGAGAAGAGAGGATTGAAATTTCTGCGAGTTTCTTTGGTCCATGGACTGATGGAGGGACAGAGGCTTCTGGATTTTATTTGGGGTGTGACTGTAAATATGTGAAATTTGAGTTGGGATTTTGCTTCAGTTTCTGAAGCTTTGCCCTAATCGAAATGGAAATCAACATAATCCATACTTGAGGTTGAGTGAGTATCTTTTCTTCTTGTAATAGGGAATTTAATTATGAACTAATATTTAATTTAATAATTCTTAATAAACAATTCTTTTACCAACTACAATATTAACGGGTGGTTTTACAATAATCGGGTCCACCATAACTCGGGTATGAATAGTATTATTATTCAGGACCACCATAGCCGGGTATGAATAGTATTATTGCTTGAGACATTAGACCCAAAAAAGTATGTATAATGTTCGAGATACCAAACAATAAATAATAATGATGTAGTAAATACACTGAGATATACGAGTAAGTCTAGGTGGACTACAGGATACAAGTATGTGGGCTCGGGTAATTGTGACAGTAGGTCGGACGTTCCCGTATGGTTAGGTGAAGTTCTAAAGCCCCCTCACAAGGCATTAAAAACACCTTATATAGAGGGCTAAAAGGGGACACATGCCGGGAGTTCGACATGTGAGCCACGTATCGTGCATGCATTGAGGAGGTCGGATGCATTGTTGATATGCCAACGTGTGAAGAGATTCCTGACATGCTCGTTTCCAATGTGACCAGGTAGAGTGTCATTACATGTGTTTGTCTTCTAGTCTAAGAGGCATTACAAGCGAACACAGTACATGCTAGGTCCCTGTACTGTTGCATTTTGTTCAATTTAGTCCATGTACTTTAAGATTTATAACAATTAAGGACAATACTTAACACCGTTAATTTTTTCCGTTAAGTTTGTCCACGTGACATTTGAATTGCCATGTCATATGTCACATCACACAATCTGAAATGGCAATTCGAATGCCATGTGGACAAACTTAACGGAAAAAATTAACGTTGTTAAGTATTGTCCTTAATTGTTCTAAATCTTAAAGTACAGGGACTAAATTGAACAAAACGCTACAGTATAGGAATCTAGCAGGTACTTTGTCCCATTACAAGCACATGTGTTTGTCTTACAGTCTAAGAGGCATTACAAGCAAGCTCGGTACACCCGATCCGATCGAGCTCCAGGGTTCTGATATTGTAAATGATGAGATTACAAGCCTCGTGACATATGGTAGACGAACCGTGTGGCTATACAATTATACGGCTGAGGGATATTTCCCATCAAATAATAATCCATGGGCTAAACTTGAGAGTTAGAACCACAAACCACTGGGCTAAAGATGTTGTAATGAATAGACAAGTGATGTCCAAGAAGGAAGCAAAACTGCTTATTTATAAGTGTGTGATCCAGGTGCATGTGTATACACACACATATATGATTTACTATTCATAGAAATTTAATTAAAGTATAATCAACAATTAAAGTAATTATAATGATTTTAATAAAATGATAATAATTAAAGAATAGGAAAAAGATATCATAGATAATTGGATATAGGTGTATGATAATAATGATATAATTATGAAAGTTTTAAAATTAAATAGTAACGGTGTTATAGAATTATGAAAGTTTTAAAATTAAATAGTAACGATGTTATAACGGTATAAGGATATTAGTCTAACAAGAATGTAATAGTGACAATTTTGTCCATTATAATTGAAGTGTAGAACATTTAATAAAAAATGTATATCTTTATTAACATACAAATGTAAATATTGATATAAATGTGCTTATAGCTTAATGAGTATAACTTTTGTTTTTTAACTTGGTAGTCAATGATTCAAATCTTACTTTAGACATTTGATACATTGTATATATTTATTATAAAAAAAAAAAAAATTCGATCTGTTTATATTATTCCACATTTTTACTTTGAATTCCGAGCTCTAAGTATACATACAACTATCATAAACAATCAACCCAAACTAGCCCTAATTGAGTTAGATTTTACAGGAACAAACCACGTATTCAACCTAGGATGAAGTCCCATGATTGCAACGTTCGACGTGGAGCTCTATGAATAAAAGTTGGTGGATAAGATTCCATGTGTCAATTGAATGTACCAATCTCCATTCCTATGGTTCTCCTTGATTCTTGAAAGTGACACATCATTTGAGTGTACATTTTTCCAATCTTTAATGTTTTTTTACGGAGTATATATTTATCCATAGACTTGAATCTTTATTGTTGACAAACACCAACAGACCAGCTTGGGTGATTATGACCTTCATTAATCTGCATTCACTAAATTATTTTTAATGAAAATAAATGAAATATTTTTTTTTAAATACTTAAAATTCTTTACAATGCAGTATTTGTTCTATACTTTCTCAAATAAATTTCAGCTAAAAATCTAAACTCTCACCACTGAGATTATGTTCGAACTTATGACTATCCATTTAAAATGTTAATCAGGATGCCAAAGGAAATATTTAAAATAATTAAATATTTCTATTTTATGAAAATTATATTTAAACTTGTAAAATTTGATAAAATTATTAAACAGACTTTTGTGTTTTGGGACAGCCAATTATATTATATAATGTCAAAAATAATTCAATTATATTTATTTAGGTATTAATTGATGCCTATACTATTCAAACATACTTTCATATACTATGTTTTTTTAAAAAATAATTTTATGTTTTCATTTTAAACTAATTTGTGTGTGAGCTCAAGGAATTCGGCTTAAATTAAATTTATTCTTAAATTAAAAATTATAGTTGTTACAAAATAAAAATATTTGGAACTAATTTGTCAAATTTTAGAAGTTTTAATATAACTAGTATTTGTCCCGTGCGATGTACGAAAAATATGTTATAAAAATATACCCTATATGAGGTTTATTCATATATATATAATTTTTATTATTTAATAATTATTATGTGTGAATTCCTATGATAAAATTATGAACATAAATATATTTACAATTAAAATAATATTTAAGGTCGGTGGTTACTACAAATCTTAAACTATATTAAAAATTTAGTACATAGTATTTAATATATATTACAAATTTTTAAGAACTTAGTAAATTACAATAGTAATTGAATTACAATTTCACGGATCAAAATTTTTAGACCTTTAAGATTTCTAACTCTAGATGTAGCAATATACAATTGACCTTTAAAGACCAAAATCACAATCTTAGTTTGAATATTGATTTTTTTTCTTCCAAATACTATCAAATTAAGTGTGTAATCAATAAAATATGAGAACTAATAATTCGAGAATATAATCTTAATGTTACTAAGCCAATTTCACGTCAATTAAGTTGGAGAGTGTTGTTGGATAGTATCCGATGAATCCACGAATAACGCATCTTTGTCTCCGTAGTCCTCAATATGCACATCAACAATCTTAAATATTAGGCCGCCTAGTTATGCCATATATTAATTTCAAACTTATGAACTTTGGGGTTGCATGCAATAAAAAGTATATTTTAAATATACTAAGGGTACATTATATATGTATGTAAGGTACTTTCAATATAAAAATAATATATTTTTAATATATTAAAAATGTTTTTGATATTCATGATCCATACAATTATGTGGACCATCGTTCACACAATAATTTGCCAGTAGAAATTGAAATATAAATAAATAAATAAATATATATATATATATATATATATATATATATATATATATATATATTAGAAACTGTCAGTGGAAATTATTATCATTATTATTATTGCAATTATTATTACTATTGTTATTGTTATTATAATTAACAATATTATTATGGTCTTGTGAAAATTAAATGTTAATTTTCACCATTTAATTTTCACAAGACCATATGGCTTTATTATATATAGGATTATTATATATAATTGAGTACACTTATCACAAAACATAGAAATTTTTGTTGTAAGAAAATTCAGAATAGACAAGGAGAAAGAGGGACCATCTCTTATTCATTCTAGCATTCAAGTGTTCCGTTTCATCCAGCATACAATATATGATAGTTAAACTATTAATAATGACCGTTACATCTGTTATAGAAATAATGTCCACTTATTTTATATTTATAATAATTTTATATTTTTTTTCATCAAGTTTTAAATATAATTGTCTGAAAGTATAATGGTATGACTTATGAGTTTGAAAAGATTTATTTAGGTGTTGACTGCAGGCTGCGGCTGTGTTGTTGACCAGACGGAAAATAAACTTGCGGTGAACGTGTGGATCGAACACGTGACCTTCAGATCTTCAGTCTGACGCTCTCCCAACTGAGCTATCCCCGCATTTTGATTATATTTGGTTTTTAGTATTCTTATTATGAATTCAACATTGGCCGACGTAAATATAGATGCACGTTATGTTTTAACCATGCATAATCTATTCTATTGAGTTTAAGATAGATATAACGACAATATTTATATGGATTGACACCATACAATTTTTTTTTTTGGAAAACCAACAACTCAACAGAATATATTAAATCAAAGCATGAAGAAAATTAGGAGGAACACATTCCCAAGTCATACGACCAGTCTGAGAGTCAGCCACCTTAGCCAAATCATGGGCGATCTAGTTCGCTGATTGAGGAATATACTGAAAGACACAAAAAGAAAACGAACCACTAAGAGTTCTACAATCATAAATAATAGAACCAAGATAAGACCTATCTATCTTCCCACTAACTAAAGCTTGAACTAGGTTGAGGCAGTCAGACTGAACACAGACTTTCAGCACACCGTCCATTAGGCCATTTATAGCGGCCATGAATCCTCCATCACCATTAATCAAGCAAGCTCCGAACAAGTTTTAAGTATTCATGACAAAAATGTCACAACTATATGTTTAAACTTGCTAACTTATAGCACTATCAAATTATATATACTTCGCAATGCACCCTTACAATTTAATATAATCAACAAAAACAGTATTATCCAAAAACCGTAATTAAAATAGTAAATGTCATACACTTTTTAATAATTAATTAATATTAAACAATTTTTTAACGAGTTCATGTTAACGGGTTGACATGATAACTTTAACGTATTAA